TTTCACGGCAGCCAGAAAGAACATGCAGTTCAGTAAAAACGCAACATTGCTCTTTTGAAAGTTAAAATTTTGACCTCCTTTGCCACATTATGTGGGCCTCTTCAGTTACGGCGTTCTTGGAAATGATAAACTGAAAGTCACACTTATCTCACGCGGACGTGGTGGTTATCCCTGTACATCGTATCAGTATAAATCATTGTCCATCAGCGTTCCAGAACGAAAACGAACTCTTACCCTCAAATAACCCTTGAAAATTTGCTTTCTTCCCGGTCTGAACTAAGGCAGGTCTGAAAAAGAATACTGATTTACGGGTCAGGTCTTATAGGGTATTGAATTTTTGGTCAGGTCATAAATAGCGAAACAAAAATGCCATATTTTGGTCTTAAATAGTGTCAGGGTTTTGGGAAGCGCCCGGGCTGCACATCTAAACCCAACTTTTCAGGGAGTACCCCCCGGGGTGTCCCCCATCTCCAAAAATGCCAAAATTATTACCTTTATGCAACTCAACGCGACAATTTTTCCTGTTTACCTCCCTCAAGAGCTCCTCTTCTGGAACACAATTGGGTAGTTGTTGCCATGTCGGGGAGCAGAGAATAAAAGCATTTCTAACATGTTCATTAGAGAATCCCGCTAACAAATTGAACTGCAGTAGAACCTGTGAAAGTTCCTTTTTGTCGGCAAAAATTGTTTCAAAAGCTGTGTTGCACCAATTGACTTCACGGGGAAGGGATGGATATTTTAACTACGGAACTTACCCACCTGAGAGGGTGCGTTGATTATTTGAGGGAGGGAGGGAGGAGGGAGGAAGGGAGGGAGGGGTGACCCATCAAATTGCACCAAGGTCATGCACGCTCAGTGCTAAACAAATGTACTTTCGTGTGTTTACGTAGTAATCGGATACTATAAGCCTTAACCGCTAATTAACTGAGGTCTTCAAGGTCAAATTTTCCAAATTGAGGAGATCCGGTTTAAATTGTGCATGAATCTTCCACGTGATGTCAGGGACACCATGACATGAAAACTCCAAGTCAATCCGCTTGAACACGATAACGGAAGCTCCTTATCACGTTCAAATCTGATCTGTGTACTCTCCCCCACTCCCTGTCAGAATCGGTTTTGTGCGTTTTTCTAGCTCACTCAGGTTGAATCTTCAGGGTGTCCACATCCACTTGGGTATCCACTCACAGACAAACTTGAGAGTGCTTTATGTTCTACTTCCTTTGGACGTGACTTTTTACAAACACAAAAGAAAGATCTTTCCTGAGGTTTTGCTAACGTGTAAGGAAAGGGAGGGGAGGATAGGGGAAAGTTTTCTTCCAAGGTTATCAAGATTACGCGGGGCACTTGTAGCGTCATTTTGAACAAAAATCGAAAAAGAATATTTGAGATTTTGACAAAATGTATTCTTTATCAATTACTTTTCTCTTCTAATTTGAGAAAAGTTCCTCAACACGCATTTTGTTTTTCTCGAGGAACCCAAGATAAAGAGAGATGATTGACAGCTGCTATTGATTTCAGCACATGCACACTTGCCGGCCGGTGTTCGAAGTCCAAATCGAATTATTTGCGGCTCAATTGCCAACCTTTCCTACTTGACTGAGATACTTCAAGAAAAAAAAAAACGTACATTTTGCCATGGAAACCAACGAAATTTTCGTGCCAATGTTTCTTGTTGGAAAGCGTTTTTTCTGATGTCATGATTAACGGGTAGAAAATTCATTCAGCCTTGCAGGGAATGGGGGAAAAAGGGGAAAGCAGTATTGCTGAGTTTCATTTCCGACACGGAGGTCTTTCGCATGCGGTGGCTAAAAACCGCACAGAGTGGAACAGCGGAAGTCCAATATCTAGTTTCATTTTGTTTGTTTCAGTGGGCGTATATTTCTAATGTGGGCACACGTCGACAGAAAGCGAGATTTGTGCTGCAGTGCAGTTTCAGGCAAATGTTTGAGGAAGGAATTTCGGAAGCCCCGTTGCAGTTTTTAAAAAGTTACGTATAAACGGAACCCCCCGAGGTAAGCGCATATCCCATTATCCAACGCGCCTTAAATTAGTGACTGGACGAGCCGGATAAACTGGCTGGGGAAAACCAGTGCTGTGCCACACCATCAGGCACTCGCTCACAGATGACCAATATCCGCGTCTATTTCCACGACTGCGGCAAGCCGTCCTTTGCTGGACTTCAAGGCGGCCAAACAAGGTACGAATTTTGATTGCTTTGTTTTGGGTTGCATGAGCTTGCTAGCTCAGATAACGAGTGAATTAGTCAACGAGACCTTGGAAAATTAAGACATAACATAATGGCTTGAGTTGTCGAAATATCGTCTGGACCTCACCAAACTCCTAACTATTCGGAAGTGATGCTCGAACGGGTCGAAGGAAGCACGCCAATAATTTTGACTGAAAAAAAATTAAGTCTTCGGTCATCCAGCATCTCTCTACTGCTCGTTTCATGCTCGCAAAATTATCAGCGTTGCACGGTATTTCCATTCGTTGCTTGCCCTTAGGCATGTCGCCTAAATTTTTTTTTTGGAAACTTAGAATTGACCCTTGGGTCAATCTAGTAGCTTGAGTTATGGCGGTGCAGACAATTTTTTTTTTTTTGACATCTTTTAATATCTGACAATCTTCAGCTTCATCACCACCTGCGGTTTCAAGTCAAACGAAAATATCAAACAACCCGCAAAGATTGTTATGTTGATCGTTTATGGCATGACTTGTAGCCGTACTACTACTAGCTCGTATGCAATTCTCTTCGAGCTGATATGAGAGATTATTGCCCTCCTGGCTGGTGTTGTAACCCAGTTCAAAGCGGTTGCTACACCACATGCAGCCGAAGCGTTGGCAAAGGCGGCTTAGATCTTCGCATAGCAATGAATATTAACGGCCTTGTCCCAGAAATGTGTAATTCCTTCGTGGTTTCATCGGACGATAAATTAATTATCAGACTAGGCACTGCATTGATATTGAACCTGCGGCCTGAATTAACAGTATAACACCTTATTTACTTCGATGCCTGCAGTCTTATGCTCTGGTTTACAAAATATGACAAAAGAAAAATTCATGCTCTTAAATGTTTAGAAAAGACCGGATTTCATTGTCTAAACAATCTTCAAAACCATGCTACAAAATTCTTTGTTCTTCTTAAAATCGTATTAACCCTTCAAGCATATCGAGATGTTTGTAAGTGTCGAATTCTTTTTAATCAGGAAAATCAAGAATATTCTGCACGTATGCGGTCACCAGATTTTCATTCACTGCAGAGACTAAACATTTTGTTGCACAATGTTGATTTTCTTTTCGCCTGGAGATAAATTTACCCGGAGAACAAAGCCTCTCTTTAAAGAAAATTTCGTTCACCCAATGCGTTGCCCTTTAGAGAGAATTTCTATTTTCATCAGACAATGCTCACTGATCACAGAAAATTCTCCCAATCTGTACTGTCTTGGTTACGGCGACTTCGTGCAGACTAAACTTCGCTTCGCTTGTTCCGGGAGTGAAACTTCTCTGCTATCGTTTTCACCAAACACGGGTAAGACAATATTCTTTCATTATTTAGTGCCCTTAACGCGTTTGATTTCTCTCACATTGCGATATTTCGAACTTATTTAACGATCGGTAATATAATCGAAATATCTCACGTCCGGGCAAACCCCGCCTGGCGTCACGCAGGGTAAACCCTTTGAATGTTTTTCACTTCATAACGCCAGCCTTATAAGAATATCGCCAGCAAAAATGCACACGGCTGTAACTGTGATACGAATGATCTTCTCGGAATAGAGGAGGTCTTATTTTTGTTGCGAGATTCCATGAGCTAGCGTGTAAATTTTCGGAGATCACAGTTATCGACAGAAATTTGCCAGTATAACAAAGATCAGTACTACTTTGTGCTGTGGCTTCGCGGTAAAGGTCCGTCAGCGCGATACGTTAGCCTCGTTGTTTCAACAGCTGTGCCAAACAATTTTGAAGGATTTTAGCGGTGACTGAAGAACGAAACAGAATACCTCGCTAGTTAGTGACCTCAGGGTCTCTCGGAGCAAAAAAGATTTCTATTTCTGTTTTCCTATCCTAATTGTTGTCAAATATACGTGTTGGATTTGTTCATAAAGCTGTCACGTCATTTCAAGTTATAATTGCAAAATTAGAGAAAAACAGCTTTTAACAGAGACGCCATTACAAAACTTGTACTTCCAGTTTTCGGCGATGCATTATTGTACAATTGAGCTTCAGTTGTTGATCACAGGAAGGAAATTTGGCGAGATCGTGTGGGGTGTTCCCATTTGCAAACGTTTTCCTCAAAATGTGCGCTTTTCTGGTTCACATTTCCCCACTGTTCTCGTATTTAGGCAAACGATTGTCAGGTACCGTGACGGTACTGGCCAATGTAGCGAGGTGGATGTACAAATTTGGACAACCGTGTTTCATGACATGATACATTGCAGCCGTTCAGTTGTTGATATCTTAACCAGTTTTCCTGGTACGAGTGGGTGTTGCAAAACTACAGTGTAACTGTTCTCCTGCTTTTGGACTAGAGTGTTGTTGCTATTATTAGAGAAACTTTCTCTGAACAGAAACGAAAAGTTGTCCTGTATTCAAAGGATTAATCATGGGGGACATACTGGGGGAGTGAGGTGGGAAGGTCGCAGGAGTAACCTTGACTTGATACTTGAGCGGCATAGGCTCCCTGTGGTGTTTTATTTCTGTGCTTTGAAAGAAAAGACATTTCCAAATGGCTCAGAGGAAGGCCCGATTTCCGCTGCTTTCCCACTTACGTCCGGTTACCACTGAGATCTGAGAGCTTCAAGAAGGAATAAGCCAGCGACACAAAAGAAATATGTTTTGATTCGCGCAGTACTGTCACTGTCGTTAGTGTCACGTTATATAAAGCGTGACGAAAGAAGAATAAGAACAAAAAATAATGTCTTCTTTTTTTTTCAAACGAAGAGCTCTGTGACAACATTGAAACTATACCTTTGATTTTTTTTTACCGACTATTGAGTCACTATACAATAACATTGTTGGAAAAGAAAATCCGCAAGGTTTGTCACAAGGAAACTGATCCAAAATTGGTGAAAAGATGGTTTTCATGGCAAAATCACAATTTTTCTGGTTCGCACAGAAACTGAACGCAGTAAGAAATATAATTGGTACGTGTTCTCTATTCCTGTTATACAAGCAGTGACCGGAACATGTGCTGACTTCTTCCAAGTAAATGTCACCAAGGAACAGTGCCCTGGACATTTTCAGATTATCGGCTGGCAAATTATTTCCAGAATGAGATGGGACGTGACTTGCTGCCCGTTTTATTTCGGGCAAGAGAGGTTGTGCTCTTGTAACTGAAGTACACTTTTTAAGAGGATTGAGGATGTATTTCATGATTTGACCAAAATACCCGAGCACTGTTTACGGGTCAGAAGAGCAATTCAACTAAATATGTTTCGGGTTTTGGCCGTCTCTGAATCAAAATAACTAATTCGTACTGTTTTAGTGAAGTAGTTTATAAACATATGCATTTCGAACCGTCTCTAAACTGATCTTTGCGACATGTTTCCAATGTGGCCCAGTATAATTCTTCAAGAAATGCATGCAACCTTGGCCTCTTAATTAATATTTCGTATTAGCAAGTTGAAGTATGTCAAATCAAGGTAGAGTTTCAGTGAAGATTGATCACACGATGACAGAAGACGAAAACGGTGCACGTGGTATTAAACTAGTTTGTATTCGCCAGGAGCCTGGGTGTGGGGAGGGTAGGGGGGAGGCTGCTCTTTTGCGCCGACGGGTTTAAAATAGGGCATAGATTTTGATCAATTTGTTCTGGGAATAAGTTTTGTTTTACTTTTATATGGAACTGAGGGGAGAGTTTAGATGAAAGTAATTTTAGTTTTATTAAAATCGGGGAATTTGCCGCACTTCTCAAGTGGGTTAAAAATCTCTGAAGTACCTTCTACCCTCCCCCGGGTTAGATGCCTAGAAAAGGTTTCCCTCATTCAGCTCTTCCCGTGTGACTACGTGGAAAAATGTCGCTAAAACATCGACAGCAACAGCGACACCAAGTTGCTTTCCACTTCAATTATCTCATGCTGCTTTACAAGTTTCTCGTTCTCGAAACCTGATCTAACTCGATCGTGAGATTTTCCTGGCTACTCGGCCTGTAAATAAAATGCCTCAGGCTAAATTTTTTTCCTTTTTCTTGACTTTATAGGCCTGTTTAAGACATCAAACTTCTAACATGTGTCGTAGTGGGTCGAACAATGACCCCAGTTCCGAATGCATAGTTTCCTTTCCGGGGATATTTAGTAAGTCATAAGTTGTTGCAGCCATGCCTGCGATACACAACCCACCCAGTTATTTTGTCAGCAACATTTCGATCCCTTCTCTCTTCTTTTTAACGTGTTTTGTTTATTTTACCCGCGTGATTTCGCGCGGTTCCGATTTGTATCAGGTCACCGTGTTTTCATTTATATCAGCTTATATTCTATTTAATTTCAGTGCAGAAATTCTCTGATAAGATATGACACGGACCACACAGGGAAAACATTCGCTTCGAGGATAAAGGTTTCATGAGTCTCTGTCTCAAGCGTGTTTAACAAAGGAAGGCTCTTCGCTCTTAGCGTTTCGTGCGATTCTTTATTATTATTAAAACTTAAGTTTCAATCTGTTTGAGATTTCCTCAGTTGTTACAAAGCAGGAAAGATTTGTTTGTGGAAGCGAGCCGCTAATGCAAGCCACGTTGGTAGAGTTCAAACCACGAGGGCAATGTATATAAATCGATCGGGATATCAAAGAAATCCAAAATTCAAATTTATTCTAAAATCTGTCCGAGAAACGACTCTGTAAAATGAATCCTATGAAGATAACTTGGTCGCTTTCTTGCGCAAATCCTTCTCCAGTCCAGTTTCTTCAAATTTCAAACCAGTTTCAAGTGAGGAAACAGTTTTACACTCTTCCACTTCACTCCGATTGGGACCAAATTATTAGTTATTTTCAAAAGCACAAGAAGGCGATTGTTTTCTCTTGCCCGACGTTTTCAGCAAGACAAATGATAGGAATCTTTTTGTCAGTGTAGCAGATTATTATTTTCAAGATTGATATCGGAAATTGAACTCTCAAGTCGGCTGTTTGTGACATAAATGAATGTAAACTGTGCCGATTAGAATTGAAATCCCGTCCCGCTTCACGGATCTCTCACTACATCCAGGAAAAGCCAGTTTATCGAAATTGCTTTTCAGAAGAAAAGGAGACATTTTTACTCTCGAAATAGATTGTTACTGAAGAGATAACAATTTCCCTGGCAATTTCGTCGCGAGCTAAAGACGTCGACGAAAAAAGGAACAGTACCAAGTTTGAAATGAATACCACTAAGAAAAGGCAGTGAAACATGATACAACGAGAGAAAGGAAGTTCTTAGACCCTGACTGTTGAAACAGAATAGGAGAGACAGTAAGAAAACGAATTGATATATCTATCAATACCTTGCGTGATGTGATATTATTATTCAGAAGACCTGTTTAGCATTGGAAGACCACCGCGAAGTTAGCTATCGTGTTGTAGATCGATCAACGCCATTTTGTTTTAAATGTGGCGGATACCAAGCCCTCTATTTTAAGCACCGCCGAATTCTTCGCGTAAACGCGTGCTTTTTCAATTTGCTTCAAGTTTCAATCGTATTTTCCGGTCTTTTCAAACTGCTGCCTCTTTCATTTTACATGATAGAGCTTTTCAATAGCGTGACACAGTAGACCTTAAGCCCAGGGGAACTCCCGCCATTAAGCGTTAAGCCTATTGGCATCTAATTTTAGATCAGAATTAAGATCTTTGCGCTCAGCAAGCGTGAACAATTAAACATCTGGATTCAACATTTTTCAATTCAATATATATTTTTTTGCAGTTTGTTTCATTTCTCAGTCGTGTTTTTCTATCGTTTCAAACTGCTGCCTTTTTCATTTTACAGAATATTGTTTACAACAGTGTGACGCACTCGCCTTTAGCTTAAATCTTTTAAATCAGTTTTTGCGTTCAGCAAGCGTGAACAATTCAACATTTGGAACAAATATTCTGCCAAACCAAAGGTCTACAGCTATTTATAGACCTCTGGTCAAACCTCATAAACTGTCGGACATGTGGTGCCAAGATTTGTTCTTCTGGTTTAAGAGTGTGACTAAAGTGTTTAAAAACCAGTCTAGAACACGAACAAAGCTTCTCTCTAATTGTGTTCTTAACCTGATCAAAATGCTGCATGGGGGCGGAATAGCAACATTTCTACGCTTCACCGATCCTGTCAACCCCTGGTATTTGGGACACGAAAACAAAAAAAGGAAAGGGCGTGCTGTTACGGGCTTGATTTCTAGATTATTACGGAAAATTTGTCGCATTGGACATAAATTTGCTGAAGATAAAGTTAATATGATCGGAAGTACCGAGGATTTAAAGTGGCTTGGTCACGAATGCTGTATCTTGGAACGTGAGGCCTAACTTATTCATTCCCAATCCATCTCAATCATCTCGTTCAAAATATTTTGCATATCAGACAAACTGCCGTCTGATGACGACTACGGGTCTACAAAATTTCTCATGATTTCACCCATACCCCATCGTTTCTGTAGTTTAGCGGCTTCAACAGGGCCGCTAGTTAAAAGCGTGAGATTTGCGGGCTCACGATGGCAAGACTCGATCGTTGTATACTCTTAGAAAGATCAAGGTGCCACCATATATCATTAGATTTTCCGCATTTCATTGCAGTTTGGTTCCCAGAGTGGAGGAGATCTGAGAACTAGACATCGTTTGGGAAAAAGCTAGAAGTTTACACCAACTTTTAACAAAGGTAAATCAACTACACAGTCAGTTATATATGCATTCACTGAGCGCGGACAAAGCGAGGAACCACTAGACCCCCTTCCTTCAACGTTCGCCTCCCTTCCTTCAACACTAGCCCCTCCCCTCAACACTCGCCCATCCAACAAAACTTTCTAAAATGACAAACAAGTTTTGAACTGAACAAGTAAGTCTTAATAAAGTACATAAAGTATTTGCTAAGAAGTGAGACAATTGAGACATTCTAGCTGGTTTCGTAAAATTGCAGTTTTCTCGAAACGTCAATCAACTTTTTTTTTCCTTCCACTCACCAGGCTGCAAAGAATTTCAAACGAAACATGATGCAAAAGAGAAGTTTGAGAGTGCCTGGAACCCTTGACGGAGGCCTGAGTTGGTTTGCCGTTCTTGCTTCGTTTATGACGCAATTCGTTGTCATGGGGATCCATAACGTATTTGGCTTGCTGTACCTTAATCTGTTGACAGAGTTTGGAGAAAGCAAGGCCACTACAGGTAAGAAGGCGTGATAGTTCCGCGTTTGTGTGAAAAGCGTCCAAGACTAAGGTCAATAAACGGCGCAACGCAAAGAAGCAAATCAGAGAAGCGTTGCTCAGTACAGTTAACATTTGTTTTGTTGAACGAGCTCCCTACCGAGAGACGGACTCAGCTAGTTAGGCTCGCATTTATTTTTTACGTCCTTACCCCATTTAAGAGACTGCTAGCGAGATTGCGCTTTAAGGATTGAGGATTGGTACAAGGGTGAGGGTGTACTCGACTAGTAGGCCCGCATTTATTTTTACGTTCCGTAGCGCACTAAAGATCCTGCTTGTGAGATGGCGCTTTAAGGATTGAGGATTGAGGCTTACGGGTACGATACAATACAAGAGTAGAGGTACACTCGGCTAGCTAGGCTGTACACCATCAGAGAACGATCAACATGCTAATGAGAGCGTGCCTAGGGATTGACATGGTGTCGAGGTTTAACAAGCTCTGTACCGTACCAGGGGAGAGCCATACTCAGCTAGCTAGGCTCGCGTATATTTTTTACACCCTGAACCCCAGTAGGGAACCTATTGGTGAAATAGCGCTTTAAGGATCGAGGATTGAGTCTTTGTTGGGTTTCATAACCATTCCCCTCTATTAACTATGAGTTTGACTAAGGAGTTCGGTACGGTAGGAACCTTAACGGCACATGCTGCAAAAAGGGTAAAACAGTTGCTGATTAGTTACTAATTATGCCCCCTTTGCTCTGTCCCGCAGCCTGGGTAGCCTCGATTTCATTTGGCCTCACCTTCGTTTTCTCACCTCTGAGCAGCTCTCTGTGTAAAAGGTTTGGATGCAAAGCGGTTACCACACTCGGTGGAATATTAGTCGGAGTTGGTCTTCTACTGTCGTCCTACGTCGACAGCATTTTCCGGATGTACGTGACGTACTCGTTCCTGTTTGGCCTGGGCTCCAGCATGTGTTATGTGTCATCAGTTCTAGTGCTCAGCGGCTACTTTTCAAAGAATCTAGTCGTCGCTAATGGCATTGGCCTGGCCGGAGCAGGAGTGGGAACGATATCACTTGCGCCCGCGCTCAGCCTTCTGCTCGACAACTACTACTGGCGTGATGCACTGCGCATTCTCAGTGCGACCTCATTACTTCTCGTGATCAGCGGCCTCATCTACTATTTGGTGCCGGCGCCGATGGAATTTAGCGACGCTAATGAGTATCAAGAGGAAACAAAACGAATTGACTTCTCCTTCCTAAAGAACAAGGCTTACATTGTGTGGATTGCTGTTGTTGGACTAGTGCTGTTTGGATTTTATATACCATACGTACATTTGGTAGGTGAACTTATGACCTGAGTCTTCAGGCCTTTCAGCCAGCAGTTAAGTTGTTCTCTGCGCCCAATCACTAATTGCAGAGCTTGATTATTCTAATGTACACAGGGAACGCTTCAAAAAAAAAATGGTACTTTAAAGTAAGACCATATTTTTGTTTAGTTCTTTTGTTGACGTTTAAAATATTGCAAAACTCATTGTAAAGGGAGAAATAAGGCAAGAACCAGAACTGAAGCAGAGGGGAAAAACAACAACTACTAGATGTGAGAAAACGGGCAACTGGTGAAAAGGACGGGAAAATTCATAACCAATGAGAAGCGCGGGAAAAGAGGTGGCCATCGGAAAACAAAAAGTTAGACCACAAATTCAGAACGAAAACACTGGAAAGGTAAAACGCTGTTTGACATTAAAACAAGGAAAAGCAATCGTGTTCAATTCGATTTGTTCTTGAAATTCCGAGAAAAAAACCGTCTGGCAATCGGCAGATTGTGTACGGTGCCACCGAGTAAAAATGTATTGACAGAAAACGTATAATACTTCTTCTAATCTTCTCTCCTTTCGCTTCTTCCAATCTCTCGCAGGTGCGGCACGGACAAGACCTTGGTATACGGAAGCAAAAATCAGCAGTGTTAGTGGGTTACATGGCAATGTCTCAAACAGTGGGCAAGATTGTGTTCGGTCGAATTGCTGATCACCCACGAGTCAATCGTGTGTACCTCTACCAAATGTGTCTGCTGGTATGTAGCGTTCTCACCACTCTTCTCCCCCTCTTCACCACCTTCAACGCTCTGCTGGCCTATTGCATCGTGTTTGGCTTCCATGAGGGCTGTTTTGTGGTTCTTATTGCTGTTCTTACTGGAGATATAGCAGGAAGAAAAATGATGGCGACAGCATACGGTGTGATGTACTTCTTCACTGGTATTCCTATGATGTTGGGACCTCCGGTTGCTGGTGAGTGAAAAAGAAACTTAGCACCAGGGTTTTCGCGTTAACAGCAAACTGCAAGCGACAGTTTCAGGTTAGCCGTTTGGCATTTGACATAAACAGACATTCAGGACAAAAAACGTTCAGGGTAAATCACTTACGTTAAAACCTACTTCTTGGCGTTACAATCCCCCGTTGAGAACTCTGAACATGACTGCAGAGCTTGGTCACGTGACTTCTAGATCTAGCGGTTTGCCGTGTGAGGTTTCCGCTGAAAACCGAGGTACTAACAGTGAGGATGAAAAGACTCCAAATACAGCTAACTGACTGACGTTTTCCGAATATAGCTACAGTTTACATTATGACAAAGTCCTTAGAAAATAAGTCTATGTTATAACATAACACGTGGTTAAAAAGTTTTCTTCTTTCCTTTCGACAGGTTGGATGTACGAATTCACCAAAAGCTACGAGCCCGCGTTTTACATGGCCGGCGCTTTCACAACACTTGGAGTATGCCTATTGTTCCTCGTTCCTTTCCTACTTCCGCCGGAAGTACGGGAAGAGTGGCGCATGCGTTCTAATGGCTTTCGTATGCGCATCCAATCATCGACTTCCAGTGAAGCAACAAAATCATGGACTTTGGACTCCGGATCATTTTATTCTGAATCTGAAAAAGACTCTGTGCAAGATTACGAAAAGAAAGACTTGACTGTATCGTTAGATGAAAATGTTTTTGAATCTAGCATTGCCAAAAGACAATCTAACGACTCAGGTCTCGGGTTTATCCTTGAAAAGTACTTCTCCATGCCAAGGCTCGTGGATCAAAAAGACAGTTTATTGGGAAGTTTCAGTGACTATTCGAGTTCTAGTGATGTTTGGATCCATTTGTTGGACCCAGACAGAGAGACCATAGTTTAACTTTACTAAATTAAATAGCCTATTTATCTCAATTAAGAAAATGTGTTTAGAAGTGAGAAGATTGTTGCCAGGTCTTATCCAAAGATCCCACGATATAATTAGATCTGGAGTAACTCATGAGATCTCGATATAATAGTCGAACCACGACGGGCTTATGGTCCACAGAACTATCATTCAAACAACAATAGTTCCTCTCATATCATGGAAGCGTTTTAGCTTCTCAGCGTTTTCATACAGAATTTTTGGTTTAAATGATTGTTTGTTCCTTTGGTTTATTCAACTTTTTTTTTCTCGTTATCGTTTTCGATTGTCAAAACTGAAACGCTTGATCACCGGATACATCGCTCTTATAGAGCGAGAATGAACGCTTAACAGCGTCGATGCATCTTGATATCATAACATTATTATTTATTGTCGTAAGTTTGTCGACGACAAAGCCCTCGAATCACAGACGACGCCGGGGTTTAGAAGTTTTTAGAAGGTTGAACATGAAAGCCTTGAGCATTAGATGTTCTCCATCTCAGTGCTTTTGGCGGAGAATGAGAACCTTGAAAACAACTTTACTAATATCACTCTAAACATTTAGAGCCGTTTTCCTACAAGAACTAGTTATCACAACCTCGATCCCAAGCTCTCTCTTTTTTAGTTACCACATTATCGTGACGTCACGATGCATAGCAACACGGTCAAATTCGAACAAAGGGAATTTCGGCGACGAATGTAGCTACTTTGGTCGACTCTCATTTGATAGACACTTCCAAAATCGCATTGTTATCTACGAAAAAGTACTTCGGTAAAGTTGTTTTTAACGGTTCCATTCCTCGGCTCCCTTCGGATGGGCTATGTCACAAAAATTGAGTCGTGCGAAAATGTATTTTTAGTCAAATGTAAGCTTCATAACTGCATTGAAATAAAGGATGACGTTTTAACTCAAACCCGGGGATAATTTTTATCAAATCAGCAAGAACCGAGTTTTTGTTAGTACCTTTCTCCAAAGTCTTGTATTTAAGTCGTGTACAGCAGTTAAATCAGTTTCCATTTTCACTGCCTTGCGCGATTTTTTTTGGTGAGCAGGGGGTGGAGGAGGGGGAGGGGGCGCCTTACAATCGAAGACAAATTTGAGCTTTGATAGCACCCTATATTTTTGTGACATAGCTCTATATCTGAATTGAGAACATTTGATACTCATGGCGACAGACTGGAAGAAACTATCCAGCATATAGCAGATATTGCCCTTGTTATAAAGGGCGTTATGACTAATTCAAAGGTAAACTTTTCAGGTGTAAAGTGGTGGCCCATTGAGGATCACCATTGTGCACATGAGAGATATACACAGAGAACGAGAAGCAGAATTATTGATTCATATATTTAAGAAAAAGGTGGATCAAACAAGTTAGGAAGAGCCGATGGTTCATGTCTTCAAAAAAGTTCAATCGACGATAGAGAACAGCAAAACCTTAATGACATTGTGCCAATGTT